AGATGGACCCGAGCATCAGCCATGTGCTAGCCTGTGTCTTACCTGCTTCCCCAGCCTCTCACAACTTCGATTCGGCTCAGGCAAAGGTATGGGCGTCACCAATAATGCACTCAATAATAGCCCTTGCCTTGAAGCTTGTCCCCAGGGTGGAAAACAAGGGCAATTTTGGAAGAAAGCAATTCTCCTGACACACCGCCAACTCCAGCACTGGGCATGTTTGGAAGAGCTTTCTTCTGAGAGCACTAGGGCCTTGAACTGCCAAATTCAGAGATCGCACATTCTTTTGCTCTTTAATAGAACAAGAACACTCCAGTATGACTAACACAAAAGGTCTGTTCTGGCTGATCTTATGTCAACTTGACACACAAACTAGAATTACCTAAAAAAGGGGGGGGAGTCCCTAAACTGAGAAAATGTCTCTATAAGGTCAAGCCTCTAGGGCATTTTCTTAACTAGTGATTGATGAGGGAGGGCCAGCTCGTTGTGGGTAGTACCTTCCCTGGAATGGTGGTCCTGGGTTTTATAAGAAAGCAGGCTGATCAAGCCATGAAGAAGAAGCCAGTAAGCAGCACCCCTCTGTGATTTCTGCAGCAGCTCCTGCCTCCAGGTTCCGGCCCTGTTTGAGTTCCTGTCCTGATTTCTTTCAGTGATGAACAGTGAAATTGAAGAGGAGCCAAATAGACCCCTTTCTCCCAAAGCTGCTTTAGTCATGGTGTTTCATCGCAGCAAGAGTAGCCCTGACTAATACAGGGTTCTTACGTGCCAAGGAGTTGTTTCATGGAGTGTGGTCATGGAGCTCCACACACAGCATCTGAGACCCCTAGGCATACATGGTTTAACAATATTTCCCACTAATCCAGTGAGGAGGTCATGACTCAGCTTTCTATCCCCAAACACTATCACTTCTATAATTCCATTTGGATTTGGTCTCTCTTCCCACCTCCACCCTTCACCAATTCTGAATTACTACTGCTGGCATCAAGTGGCCGCAGGTCTAGTCCTTCGCTGTCATTACAAGAGAACCTCGATCAGTCTAGCCAGATAGCTATCAACTTCTCACACCCCAAAGTTAGCATGAGCACAATGTGATGCCTTACTTGCTTCTGCTCTGGGATTTCCCAGGCAAGGATATTAGAAGAAGCGGTAAGCAAAAAACAACAGTGTTTTCTGTTAGTAAAATCCTGAGGTTAGAACTCAATGGCTCTGCTCCCCAACCCTGCTCTCTGAACAAGCAAGCATGGCCCTGGGACAGATTGATAAGTTGTGTACCATTCAATTTTGTTTCCTAAGAAATGAGTCAATGACCAGATGCAACTCTGCCCCTCAGTTTTCTGAAGAACTATGAGACGCACAAGGACAGTCAAAGCAGAGCCTCCTGTGTGGAAGGGATGATGGGGATAGCTTTGCCTCCGAAGATAGACTCCTGCCGAGAGGTGCTCTTAGTGAAACACTTCTTTCTGTAACAGCTGGGGACTGTCCTAGCAAAAGGACACATAAATGTGTATAAATTATGCTACTGTGTGTATGTTTCCTGTTGTAGAATCACTACTTTGTGTATCCACAGAATAACCATCAGTTCCTTCTAGGGGGACCTACTAGTAGGTAAGGTCGGGATGTAACTATAATGGGGAGAAGCTGAATAGGCAAGTGCCAAACATTCTGTTCTCTCCCACTTGCTGGGCAGACCTAATGGAGGTACTCCTTGAGAGGAGGGGACATGTGGATGTCCATGTATCCGTGAGCATGCATATGTGATGTGCAAATGTGTTTGGGGGTGGGGTGCATCATGGGCCATTTCCTTTTCATTTAGACCCAGACTATCCAGAAGAAACTCCTATTGCTATCTGCGGTCACCTCTGCTGCCCTCACTCTTAAGGGTTCAGAGAAGGCGTCTGCCTTTAGGAAGCAGATGAACCACAAGTGCCCTCTACTCCTAGCTTTAAGGCTTCAGTGCTGCCTGTTATCCTTCTTCGTGCAGAAAATATTCTTCCTTTGCATCTCCCTTGATGTCTCAGAAGTAAAAAACGTCAAAGCCAAAAAAAATGTCAAGAATATTTGAGTTTATACTTGGTCTACTACAAAGACATGTTCAAATAAACCACTCTGTGAAATTTTCCCTTCATGGGGTTGAGGCAGTGGCTCGCTCAGTAAAGTACTTACTGTGTATGCGGGAGGGTCTAAGCTCAGATTGCCAGCTCTCACACAGAAAGCCAGATGCAGCAGAGCATGTCCGCAACCACGTGCTGAGGGTGTAACGACAAGCAGACTCCTAGATCTCACTGGCCAGCCAGTGTAGCCAAATCGGTGAGTGTCAGGTTCAGTGAGAACATGCTGCCTCAAAAGATAAGTGTGACGGAAGAAGATACCCATTGTCTACCTCCAGCCTACAAGTGCATGAATACACACATGTACTAACATTCACTGTCCACACACATGTTTATCACGCACACATCCATCCATCCATCCATACATACATACATACATACATAGATACGTATACATGACATACACACGCACACAAGCAAAATTTTGCATTCATATGGGAAAATAAAGTTTCATCGAATGGTTAGAATTAATGAATTAAAGCTAAGATAACAATTAAAGATGATAATATCAATTCTCTACTCTCATAATCTTGGGTTTTTTCCCAGCGTAGGTCCAATTACAAAGTCAACCCAGGTCATCTCATGCAGAGTTGTACTGAGAGATTGCTCTGCTCACAGCCAATTGAACGTCAGTATTTCCAGAAAGTCAGTTACTGCTTCCTGGGTAATCAGATCACTCTCTGTGCACACCTCTCCAGGTGTGATGGAGCAGATGTCTCACAGCTGATCCTAGCAATGAGAAAGCGAAGGACAGGCTCTTGTCTTCCAGGAAATAGCAATGAGTAGCCCTTATTCCAGGAAATAGCACACAGCTCATTCCTACCTAGGAAGCAGAAATCTGTAGCTCATGAGCCAGCTGTTGAAGAGGCAGCTGTTCTTCCTGGGCAGGGTCCTATCCATTAGGAGAACCATGCGCCCTTCTCCTTCTGATCTACCCAGCCTCTCCTTCCCAATGGCAGGCGCAAGCCCTGCTTGTCAGATGGATGTGCTTCATGTTGGTGGTCCTCTCTGGCCCAAGAGAGCTGGGAGAGGCTGACTCGGTGACTGATTATGTAAATGCTGAGGATCACGTTCTTGAGCGGCACAGATGAAACGGGTTTTTAAAAGCAGCTTTGTGGGAACCTGGGTCCAGACGGCCTATCAGCGGCGTGCAGTGATTATGTTCTCAAGCAGAGGCAGTCACTCACCATAGGCTGTCTTAAGGTAGAAACTGAGTAGCAACACTGAGCACTGCAGAGATACACTTCCCTCATGAACATCTGAGTTGTTGCAATATTTGATTGCCCATTTGCTTGTCACAGAAAATTCCTAGCTGTTGTTGACGACTGCTGCGGTAACAGAATATTGCCTGTGTTTCTAACTCTAGCAATGGGCTTTATGTGCTAGATTTTAATATCATTAAGCCTGGGCAAGTGTACAAGTCTTTTATAAAGAAACCTGGTTTACTTGCACAAAACTGATCAGTTTTGAGAGATCTTGAATACCCCTGAAGTGGTTTTTGTGAGTGTGAAACAAATGGAGAAAATATGAATTGGTCCCTCTTATTATAGTATTGAAACTAAGCCTACTTCATTTATCAAGTCAAGTTCATGCCCTGATTTTATATACTTGTATCTATCAATAAACATTGTGATACTCAAAAAACCAAGCAGTTTTGCACAGTCAAAAGTGGCCTAGTGTTGAGCACTTGTTTAGGACATGTGAGCCCCTGGGTTCCGTCCCTCATAACAAAATAAATAATAAAAATTAACTCTTAGGCAAAAGTTAAAATGTCATTTAAATGTTTGCCCAGAAACATCTTTTTGGAGATTAGGTAATATAAATTGCAATAGAGAATCCTCTAACAATTCCAAAATGGAATATGCTTCCTTTCTAGTGGGGTTAGATAGTTCAAAATGCCAGGATTCTTTATTCCTTGTGCACCCTGCAGGACTCAACGCGGTTCTACGGTTCTTTCCTCAGAGTGGCTCCCAGCACACTTCAATTCTCCATTAGCAGACCTGGCATCCAGCTGGGCACATTCTACCTGGCTGCCAGTGGAACTTGGCATGCAGCAATCTTTTCTTTTCTTTTTCAAGACAAAATTTCAGGATTTCTGTGTATAGTCTTGGCTGTCCTGGAATGAGCTCTGCAGACCAGGCTGGCCTGGAACTCACAGAGACCTGCCTGCCTCCACCTCCTCAGTGCTGGGATTAAAGGCCACCACCAACTGGCTTCAGACCTACAGAATATTTCCTCAGACCCCCCAACAAACACAGACTTTCGCCTTGAAGAGTTAGAGCACATAAGTGCGTCATCAGTGGGAGATCAAGTTACTGCGTTTTTCAGGCAGAGGACAATACCAGGACGGCCCAGGGGATCTCCCAGTTCAGATGCGCTTAATAGAAACTTCCAAATCAAGGGCACATCCAAGTCTTTTCAGGCTTCCTTTGGGGTCACGGAGGGGTTATGCAAGTGAAGAGTTCTGAAGTTCTGTCATCCTTCTGGGTACCACACCTGTGTCCTCACCTAGGGCACTGCAGCCCACAGTGTTGCCGAGCCTCCCTCACAGATGATTACTCCCCAAGTAGCAGACTAAAAATGGGCCTGAGTTTTGAATTCAGAAAGGTTTGGTCTTCAACACCATTCTCACCTCTTAGCTGCTCTGTGTTCTTGTGAAAAACAGACAACCTCGAAATGCTTCAGCTTCCTTCAGAAGAATGTAAACCTCATTGTATGTTACAAAGGCAGCCCCGCAGAAGCAGGGGGGGCAGCCTGAGATGCACCATTCCCTCCAAAATCTATCCCAACCCTGTGACTCATCTGAGAAGCATGCTCTCTTCAAAAATTAAGACAAAATACTCAGTTTGTCCAATTTATTTGATCAGTCACATTGGACTAAAATGTTGAGTTTCATTTGCATAATGTAAAAATATACTTTAAATAAGAACACTTTACAATGTTAAAATATACATATATATACACACATATATATATATAAAAGATTCATGGAGAAATTTAGAATAAAACATACACAGTATGCTATTTTAATATAGAAACAATTTAAAGAAAATAGGCTCATGAATTATAAATGTAGCATCACCAAGAATTTACAAAAGTTTTCACTTTCTTGAAGGTCACACTTCTCATCCTTTGGGATGTACAGAAATTATGTGGTTTACATAGTTCTACCCACATTCAAAAACATCGTGTTTTAAATATTTTAAGCATAGCATGTACAGTATACAGTGTTTCCATAGGAACATAACAGAAACTGTCACTAGTGGCCTGCCGTCAGGTGGCTCTGAGGGTGTCGGCATTTGTAAGACACTAGCTCAGTGTATTGCTGCAACCTTACAGCTTCTCTAGTCACCCTAAATACAATGAGTCTGCCCACCAAGGCTCACAGAGTTACCACAGAATACACACCAATATATACACAGAACAGGTCTTCTGGGTTAAATGAAGATCCCATGCTTAAATAAGAACCCAAACTAGGAGTTTCAGGTTAATATCTCCTGATGGCTATTTTTAACATGTCCAGCAAAGTGCACAGTGAATGGAATTGTCACCAGAAACGATCTTTCCCTGAGCTCTCCGATCCCTCCTGTCCAGTCCCACCACCTGAGAAATGAGAACCTTGGGCCCCGGGACATGACAGAGTAGCTTCACAAAGGGGGGGGGGGCATTGCAGTGACATTCACGTGTCACTAGAGGCCTCAGTGCCCCCCTAAAAATGGGTAAAATTCACTCTCCACAGTTGCTGTGCAAGGTCTGCAAGCCAACATTCAAGAGAGAAATGTCTATTGTAGGTTGTTGCCAACAAGGCCATCCATCAGCCATATTCCAGGGTTGGTGGCCCCCGGACAATATTGAAGTAGCCGGCCAGCGCTCCGAGGTCTATATAGAGGGAACGCTGCCTCCGGAGCACCTCAGACTCCTCGGTGCTGCCCGTGCAGGAAGAGTCTACGGAAGGAACATGGAGACAATGAGAAAAACCAATGACAAAACTGATAGGGAGCCCAGCACGTAACAACTACATGTCCCTTCTGCGAAGAAACAACCCTGTGGGGCTCGAGAGACAGTGGCCCAGGCCGGTTGTCGCAGACGCCTTTAGAACACTCACATAGATTACAGGGTCCCAACAGCCAACAAAGAAAAGGAATTAGGAAGAAACTCTGGCATGTTTTTCATTCATTTCCCCCCTACGAGGTACAGAGAAATTAGACAAGTATAAAGAGAAAGAGGTACACCAGGCTTGACCTCTGAGTTTGGGCCTACATGAGTGAAGAAAAAAGTGCCTTCTCAAAGGAGAAAAAGACAAGATCTCCTGAGTAAATTGGGAGCATGGGGGTCACAGGAAAGGATAGAAAGGGAGGGGGAAGGGAGGGGAGCGGACAAAAATGTATAGCTCAATCAAAACCAAACAAAAGGTGCCTTCTCTAGGCCTAGCTAGGCTTCTGGGGTGTACTGACCCTCCTAGGTGGGAAGGACTCATAGCTGGCTTGCAGATTTCAAGCAGAAGATTTGCAAAATGCAAGGTGACTTCAGACCTGGTGTTTTCTCTGCACCGAATAATCCAGAACCCCACACATTCCCAATGGCAGGGCCGTCACTCTCCATCTGTTTCTAAAGTCAACTGATAGCCTCTGATTCAAATAAAGTGAACCAGAGGCAACACCCTGTGACTGTGTTAGCTCCGTGCACCCTGAAACTGGCTAGAATTTTGGGGATCGGTGAGTTGACTGCAGGTTTTCCTACGGCTTCCACTCACTTTCTCAAATAATGATACTCCCCTTTCTGCATCAGTTTGAGGTAAGTGTCGCTACATTGTGCTACTGTCTAGGCAATCTTTCTGTCTTAATCTTCTAAGATGTGCCTGGTTTCTCCATGTGTGTGTGTGTCTGTGTGTGTGTCTGTGTCTGTGTGTGTGTGTGTGTGTGTGTGTGTGTGTGTCTGTGTGTGCTGCAGGTAACGGAACTCAGGCCTTGTGCATCCCAGTGTTCTGCCTCCAAGTCACAACCCCAGCATCTTCTCACATTTTATTTCAAGACAGTCTCACTAAGCCGCCTAGGGTAGCCTTGAACTCACACTGTAACCCAGGCAAGTCTTGATCTTTGGTCTTCCTGCCTGTGCCATCACACCCAGCTTTTTCTTTTGAGACAGGGTCTCAAGTAGTAGAGGCTGACCTTGAACTTCAAACTGCCTTATCCAAGTTCTGGGATTACAAGTGTGTGCCACCATGTCTGGCCTTCACCCCCCACCCCCACTCCACACACAAGTGCTTTCATGACCCACATCAGAGGTGTCGGTGGACAGAGGAGGGGGGGCTAGTGGCTCCACAGTTACACAGGCACACCCCACACACACAGCGGGGAGGGGGAGGGACCTACCAGCAATGTTCTCAGGAAGTTCCAGCTCCTTCCTGCTAAGCAGCCTCTTCCGTTCAAAGAGGGCGGAGTCCAGACTCTGACATCTTGGCTGGTCCTCTGGAGAGGGATTCAGGGCTTCATGTTTCAGTAGGTCGGCTGCTCTTGGGCGTTGGTTGGGGTTCCTCTCCAGGGCAGCTTCTATCAGTCCCCTCATGCCTGGACTGCAGTCACCAGCAATGTCTTCCAGGGGAGGGGCCTGCTTGTGGATCTGCCAACAAACCAGCTCTGTCAGCATGGACGGCATAGAGACAGACACTGAAACAGCGAGGAGTGACCCACCTGCCACTGCATGACCCCTAGCAAACACCCTTCAACTTCCTAGCAGTGCTTAAGCCAGCTTTGGTTTAATATGGCAAAAAACACATGCTGGGTTTGAATTAGCAGTGACAGCTTCTCGTGGGGTAGGGTGGGGGGTCCAAAGGAGGCTGCAGCAACAAGGAAATGCCTGCCTCCGCCTCCTTCCCATGCCTACTCTAGGACAGGCTATCAGACAGAGGGAAGGGAATTTGAGGGGAGCAGAAAGCAATAACATTATATTTTCTTTTACTAAAAGCGACATTTTAAAGAACACATGCACCTTCCTTGGCTGACAGAGCTGTAGGACTCTCGTCCTTCTAAGTATGTTTTATCACATGGAAGTATAATGGGAGAGCATACGAATCATGGCTACTTCTCACTTTAGTCTGTTTCCATGAAAACGAACTTTCATTTTAACAATGAAACTACAAATGCCTCTCGTGGGGCACAATTCTACCTCCACCTCATCTCCTCGGTGTGCTACTGAGATGCTGGGCCTCACCCAGCCCAGCGACTCTCACTTACTATGTACAGGTAGGAAGGATAGGCCGAGCGCGGGTACCGCTTCACCCAGGGCGGGGTGCCTGTCTGCATGTGGATGAGCGTGGCCCCCAGGCTGTAGATGTCTGCTTTTGTGGAATGGCCCCTGCACAGAATCACCTCGGGGCTCATGTAGATCTGAAAAAGACAAGGAAAGCATCCAGTTTTAGGAGCTGGCTCCTTTGCTTCTGCGAGATTTGCTGCGTGCTCTGTCTTTCAAAGGGAATACTATTGCAGCCTCCCTCAAGCCAAGGATAATCCTGAGGTGTTCTGTCCTCTAGAACACCTCTTTCCCAGAGACGAGACCTCAAAGCACCAAGATTTTTGAAGCTGCTGACTCCCACTGCTCTGAGTTCTGTAGATGCTATCAGTTATATACAACTGTCTATCAAAATACCAATTCTTCTCAGACTTAAACTTACACACATACTTCTCCCATTTATTTGCCAAAAAGTGACAAAATCCTGCAGGGCATTTATATCAATGGCTTAGGAGGGAAGCGTCCCAGTGAGTAAGTACCAAATGCCTGCTCCAGCAACAGTGTTTAAGTTCTGAGCATGAAGCGAGAAGATTGCCACAAGCTCCAGGATAGCCTGGACTACAGACTGAGACCTTGTCTAAAAACATAAGAAACAAAAGCGTTGTAAAAAATTAATTAGTAAACAAAATACAGCATAATTTGCATTTGATTTCAGAAGTCAATGTTGAGCAAGTGGGGCAATTCTCTAAATTTTATTTTTCTAAATTTAAGATGGAAGAGAAAACAAAGAAAGCCCTAGACACCAATAATCTGTAGTCAGGGCTGGCATAGACATAAAGTGTTAGCATCCTAATTTACAGGCAGAATAGCTCTAATTTGAAGGTACAAAGGGCTCCAAAAACTGGGAGCTTTTGAGTAGGATGATGCCACAAGTGGAAAATTCCACATATGACCTCATGTGACAGGGCACAATGAGAACACAGCCACACTGAGAACACCCTGCTAGCTGTCTTTCAGGCTAACGAACCCTGTGCTTCTTCAGTTTGGGTCTCATCCTCAGGATATATCACAGCAACAACACATACACATTCCAAAACCAAATGGAAGAAGAAAAAGAAGTGAAGAAACAGGAGAGGGGGGAAGAAAAGAAAACAGAAAATAAAGAAGGGAAAGGAAAGGAAGACAAGGGGAAAGGGAGGAGAAAGGAGGGAGAGAGGTCAAAAGCACGAAACACTCCTGAGCCTGAGTCCTCAGATAAAATACATAGCCTTCTTAAGCTTTAAAAGCTTCTGTGCTGTCATGTGAACAGGAGGGAAGGGTTAGCATTCTCAGAATTCATTTCTGAGTAAATAAGTACAAATTAGCTTACAAAAGCTGGGGAAATTGCCCAGTTTCCCCATCTTAGCCTGCTCAACTCCTTCCTAAAACACACTTCCTTGCGGCTTCCTTCTGCCCTCATCGGGGAGGCGACCCTGAGCTCTGTGTCCACCCCTTTCCCTGAAGACGAAGAACAGCATGTGTCTCTCGACTTTTTTAAAAAAATAAACACAATCTCAATCACAGGGCTAAAAAATTAAATAGCCAATTTTGCACCCTATGGTCAACAAGGAGTTACGCATCCACAACTTGCCAAGAGAATGGACTTCCTGTTGAAGTTTCTTATCAAATCAAACACAGTTCAGAAAGAAATGCTATGTACTTGCTGTCAGTAGAGGAGGTCTGCCTCCCTCCCCATACAGAGTAGGGACAAAGCAAACTGTATGCGTGAGTGTGTCACAATTCTACATGCTTGCACGTCCAGCTTACATTTGGGAGCTGGCAGTATCTGGCATGATGGCTTGGGTGCAAGCCAAGCCCTCTGGCACACAGCCAGGAGCTTCCAGTTCAATGTTTTTTCCTCCTCACCCCCCGAAAGAGCCAGAGGAGGCAGCTCAGAAGGTCTGTCTTTGGGCTGGCTGCCTGGAAGGCTTGGGTCAGATCTGACAGCACCCCCTCACCCCTAAAGAATGAGCAAAGTGCAGGGGAACTTGAAGTCAGAGTCAAGGCCTTTGTGTTTTATAGCGTGGAAAAGAGACGGTCATGGGCTGTCATGGGCGTGTCTGCATGAACACATGTGTACATGTGGAAAAGAGACGGTCACGGGCTGTCATGGGCGTGTCTGCATGAACACATGTGTACATGTGGAAAAGAGACTGTCACGGGCTGTCATGGGCGTGTCTGCATGAACACATGTGTACATGTGGAAAAGAGATGGTCATGGGCTGTCATGGGCGTGTCTGCATGAACACATGTGTATGTACATCTTCATTCTGTGTTAACTTAGAGAAGTTAATACTAGAACCAGAAGAAAAAGTAAGAACTGTAAAAATAAAGAACAAAACCACAGCAAAATAGTTCTAGTATGTTATTTATATTTCCTAACTTTTCCCCTCTGAGCCATGTAGCTAAAACAAAATAAATACATGCCAGGTTAACATTGGGTAGATATGACATGTTTCAGCAGAACACTGTGAATATGAAGGGGGAGAGGGAGGGAGAGGGAGAGAAAGAGAGAGAGAGATCCAGGGGTGAAGTTTGTGTTTGTGAGCTGTACTGCAGAGATCTGAAATAGTCATTGACATCCCAACAGCCAGAATTGCACTCCAACGGAAAGCAAATCTGCCTGCTTGCCTGCGTCGTAATATCTGATTTGCTCTTTGGTATAAGGAGTAAAGCAGGCTTGCTGAAAAGTTGCATCGGGACTTCCCCATCATTGTCACACTGGTCCTAATCAAACTATCGTTGGTGAGCCCTGTGCGGACAGCACAAGAGAGACAGCTGGCAGCATGCAGCACCGAGGAACAGACACCAAGTCCCATTTTACATCAAACACACAGAAATCAGCATTAGCTGGAAAGACTTCATCAGTTACTCCTCCCCAGGAGCAGGATGGGTGCTAGATGCCCTATAACCCTAGGACACAGGAGGCAGGGCCAAGAGGGCATTGAGTGCAAGGCCAGCCTAGGCTACACAATGCATTTGAGGCTAGCCTGAGCTACCCCAAAGTCAAAAGGAGAGAAACCCTATTGATGATTGAGATGTGTGACTCTATACCCAGCCCTCCTGGTGGAGAATCCCAGGAATACAAGCTTTTCTCCAACATTGCATAATTTCTAACTTGACTGCATTGCCAGGAAGCAGAAGGTAGTTTTTCCTCTGATACCATAAATAGTCTGTTTCTCAAACTGGTTCCAGGGAAAAGGGTGGAATGTCCCGGATCTGAACTCCTGACTAGTGCCAAAAAGAGCTGAAATGCCTTCTAAAGACAATGGCCTACGTATTAAAGCTGATCAGACTTTCTGCTGTGGCAAAGTACTCTTAAGAAGGGACATAAACATTCTTTAATTTAAAAAGAGGTTGACAGGGCCAGTGTGAGCCAGCACTGGGGAGGCTAAGGCAGGGGGATTATGCATTTCAAGCCAGTCTGTTCTAACTAAAGTAATTCCAGAAGTTCACTTAGCTCCAGGAAGAGCTTTCCAGGTCTAGTTTTGGTTTCAGTTCACAGATTAGTTCAATTTTATCACCATAGCTTCACACAAGGTGTGCTGTACTCAAGACTTCAGTCTGACACTATCCCTGGCTGAAAGACAGACAGGTCTTGGCGGTCAGACCTCAGTACATGGCAACAGCCAGGACAGCGGAGACAAACTGAACCAAGACTCAGAGAAGGTTGGCATCTAATAACATGCTAGTTGTGCTAAAATGTTACCCAGAATTTAGAGCTCAAATCCTTAAAAAATAAGGATTAATAAAATACGAAACTAAATCCTTATTCTCCAAGAACTCAAGTTCGGGATCTGTGTAACAGTGCAGCTTCAGGCACTGTGTTATAATTGCCCCGTGTTTATTACCTTATTGTAAAACAGGATAGCAGCAATCACCCCTCTGCTACAATAATAGTATTCAACACCAATTAAGGAGAAACAGTTCATTTAAAGCACTGAGTGAGCTATTTTGACTATCATTCTGCAACAGTTTTAAAAGATGGATTCAGAATCTACAATTTGAGTATCCCACGTCTGAGAAGCTTAGAACCAAAATCTCTAAGATTTGGGAGTTCGTATTTTGAAATACTAGCATACATATGTGGGTTTTTATAAAATCTTTTGTGTGTCTTTCCATCTGTCTGGTGTGTGCATTCCTATGGTGTGTGTGTGTATGCATGTGTACATGTGTGTGTTTATGACACTGCATTTTGAACACTTCCTACCTTGAGCCAGGATCTCTTATTTACTGTTGTGTATTCCAGGCTATTTGTGAGCTATTGGGAAAATGCATGTCTGTCTCCCACGTAACCACAGTTGTACAGGATCACTACACTTGGCTTTATGTGGGTTCTCAGGATCTGAACTCGTGTCCTCAGGTTTGTGCAACAAGTGTCTTATTCAACCCTCTCCAGCTCCTGCATAGTTCTCTAAACTTTAAGATTAGGGATGCTCAACTGGTCCTCCATTCCAGCACGGGACTGTCTGTAAGGGCCTTGTGTTGTGTAGATAAACATAGTAATAGAAAATGTCTATAAATATTATCATATATGTGAAATCTTATCATATGAACAGTAGAGGAAAAGGGTAAACGGTAACATGAATTTGCTCTGGTGACAATGATTTAATGTTGTCATTTTACCCCTACTTTGTTCTTTGCTGCAGCATTTCTATAATATCATTTTATTCTTAACAAGATAACAACAATTTTCACACCAATCCAATTACCTCTGTTCCTCGGAGATCCTTGGGAAGATAGACATCTTCAGTCATTTGAACACTTAGGCCAAAATCTACCAAAACAGCTTTTGTAGACATGAATACGATATTACTGGCTGCAACGAGAAGGGTTTTTAATGTGAGTTAATACATCCCAACACAAGATGAAAACACCATCTAGAACAATGAGGTCCAATCAGAGCAGAGTGCAATGCTTCTAATAGCGACACAGGCATAGCGCACCCACAAGCACCGCACTGCTGAGAGGCCAGGTGAGGATTCCTGGAGGCTGTCAAGAACCCACCCAGCGTGGGCCAAGAAGAGTACAGCCACCAGTAAAGCTCGAGGCTTGGCTTCGCTTCTAAGACGCAGGCGGCTGCTATCAAGTCACTGTTGTTTATAAAAAGTTAAGGATTTTTTTTCTGGTTTAAGTTGTGCTTCTCAGTAGGTATTAAAGATTTATAATGAGTTTGTTTTACTTCTATATCATACCTGAGTTCTAGCAATTTTTTTTAAAGAGGTTGATATTTTTTTTTAAAGAGAAGATATTTTTTACTCAAAAATATATGACTACGTGTTTGCATTAAGTAATCTCCCTCCCATTTTCCGTCCTCCTGTAGTGTGTGTGCGTGTGTGTGTGGATGTGTGTGATGTGTGTGCGTGTTGTGTGATGTATATATGTGTATGGTGTGTGTGTGTGTGCGCGCGTGTGAATGTGTGTGGTGTGTTGTGTGATGTATGTATGTGTATGGTGTATGTGTATGATATGTGTGTGTGTGTGTGTGTGTGTGTGTGGTGGGGATCAAACCCAGGGCCTTGTGTGCACTAAGCAGGGATTCCACCACTGGGCCACACCCTAAGTCCTGCATGAGTGTTTTTAAAGCAGTATACAAGGGCAGAGGCAGCATGCGCCACAGATGTGTGGTCACAATCCTGGCACCGCTGCTCTGTCATCACCCTCCCTTCCAACTGCTGACATTTTTAGTGACCGGTCTTCATTCTATCAGCTCCTTCAGGAACACAGAAAAGGAAAATGAGCTGTATTGGCAGGGAGCTGCCCGCCTGCCATTGAGTGTCTCCAATCTGGTGAGTCCCATTACCCCACCACTCACGTTTAATATCATGGTGGATCACTTTCTTGGAGTGCAGGAAATCGAGTCCCTTGAGAACGTGCTTGGTCACCCAAATAATTTCAAATTCTCTCATGGGCCCACAGCTCTCCAGCTTTTCCAGAACAGAGCCCCCCTCGCCTGCTTCCATGAAGAGATGAACAGTATCACCCCATAAGATGGCACCATACAATTCAGCAATGTTCTCATGCCGGAAGCAGGCCTGGATCTCCACATCCGATGGCTTAAACTGATCCACAGGGATCTAGCAACACAAAACATGGGCGAGAGTCTAAACAACCTCAAGATGATAAAACAAACAATAACCAGACCACACAGATCAACCCACAAAACAAAAGCCAAACTAACACAAGGACACTTAGACATGTAAGTGTAAGACCGGGCAGTGTGATATCAAAACATGTTTACCACAGACCTGCTCCTATATTATGTCATCTTTAGATATAAATTTTTAAACATAAAAAACTAGGTATGGGAAAAAAACTCATTTCATTTAGAGTTTAGGAATCCAAACAAAGTTTAAAAATACCAAATGACCTAAGAGAATGTCCTGTGACAAATTCACACCATCTCCATGGCCCCAGAACACTGTGGCCTTTTTAAATATTTCACCTGATTGTGTGTTAATATGAAATTGCTAGTTCCTTTAAGGTAAGTGCCTACCCATCCCCACATCCCATGAAAACTCCGTCCTCGCCCACAAGAGCTGTGATAGGGTAGCGTTCCTGGAGCAGAGAGACACTTAAAACAGCTCCAAATACTGTGCTGGGCAGAAGGCAAATTGTAGAAGTTCAGATGTTATTCTAAAGGTGATAATATGCATACACCTGGAAAATCAGCTCCTAACAGTGGTCATATGAAGGGAGGGGACCCCACCCATGAGCCCCCATCCTTTTGAGCCTGTCTGGGATTTGTAATGATATATTTGATTTTCTTAAGAAAAATACTCTCCTTAAATATTTAGGTATAACAAACACTAAAAGGACAACAAACCCACAAAGCCATTTTCCCAGGCTTTTGTAGCAAATTTGAAAAACAGGCCACTGAGCCTCCAAGTTTTATAAAAAATCTCTAGGTAGTTTACAGTTTGGAAGGGTCGCTCTAGATAGACGTTTCAAAAAGCTTCTTATAAGTCTTATTTTTCTTTAATAAAAGATTATCTAGTCAAACTTTTTTTTTTTGAGGTGGGAGTTTCATTATGTAGCCCTGGCTGGCCTGGAACTCGCTATGTAGACCAGGTTGTCCTGGAATTTATAGACATCCGCCTGCCTCTGCCTTCCAAGTGCTGGAATTAAAGACTTATCTAGTGAACTATAATGAAAAAATAAATGAAAGACAACAGATTGTTGGGGTTTTTTGGCGGTTATTACAAGAGACTGAAACATGGGATCCGGCAACTATTTTCTACTCTACTTTTTTGCTAACTCAAGAGTAAACACCACCCTCAGGCTGGGGATATAACCAGTGGAAGAACACTTGCCCAGGATAAGTGAGGTTCTGGGTTTGATCCCAAGCACCACAAAAGAGTAAAAAGTGATATTTAATGTCTTCACACTGTAAAATGGTGTCAAACGCAGTGGACTGTCCACTGGGCCTACAACTGTGATTCCCAACTGAAATCAGAGGACCAGGCTCCCCCAGGAACCTCCCGACTCTTTCAGTCACTATGCTGCAAGGGTACCCATGATCAAAGCATCTAGTTAACAGATTTGGGGTCCTGTTTTTGTACTTCATATGAATGGGACCTCATACAATAGATCTTATTTTGTGTCTGACTGTTTGAACTCAAGGGTTCTGAGACCCAGCCACGCTGCTTTCGCTGTGAACCATTTGTTCTCTTTGTGGTCTAGTGTTCCAGGGCATACATCTCCATCTATCAGTATCTGGGAAGTTCCCAGAATGCCACCTCAGCAAACGTGCTGAGATGAACAGAGAGAACAGTCACGCACATGCACACACCTCTCTGGTGGGTGTCACTAAGCAGAGGAGTTACTGGGTCACTCCGGATGTGCATGGTCTTATGAAGCAGCAATACATTGATGTTAAACAGTCATTGCTTAATAAGAGACGGGGACCTTTCAGCTGTTGTACGAATTGACTCAGAAACCAGATCCAGTTTTCCTCGGTTCTGTTGCCTGCTATGGACCCCTCCCCAGGGGGCAGAAGCTACACACAGATCTGCTCTTCCATCTCAGGTGAGCTCCCCCAACTCCCATCTATGGGACAAGGTATTACCTAAGCTAAACACTTCAAACCATTTTTTAATTAGATTATAAGCTCCAAGTCACCTAAGTAGAGATATAGGAACTGAATGGCCCCAGGCCACCAGCCACTCCAGAAATTACAGACACTTTGAGACAAGAAACTTAAGCAAAACGAGGTAAGGGTAGAATCTTGGGTCATGGTAAATAACCCAAAGCCAGGAAGTCAGACACACAGTGTGGATGTACACACCAGTTTGCATGCCATTCTTTTCTTGGTCTTCATGTCTTGGGCTAAGTACACTTTTCCAAAGGCCCCCCGAGGAATGAAACCAGAGCCGATGTTCCGGTACGTCAGCTTCCAAGGGACAAGGAGAACATCAGAGTCGATCTGGTAGCGTCCATTCTGGGGGCTGATGACCTGCGAGGAGACAGAGGCTGAGGTGAAGCCCACTCCAGAGAGGCTGTTGTTAGAAGCACTCCGTGCCGTGCAGTGGTGCTGTGCGTCATTCTGACATTACCAGCTATATTTAGAATTTGAACAAGACAGAGAAAGCTTATAACAGACACAAGTTCCTGGTCCAACCTGCTCATATTTCCAAACGCTTGATGAATAGTTGAGCCAAAGAGAAGCTGCAAACTTATTTATCTAGGGAGTCTGATGACAGTGACCCAAAGACTGGAAATAAGGAGGTTGACTTGTTTCTATTAAAATGCACTAACCTGTTCGTCTGCACAGCTATTACTCATGCGTGATGCACAGAGAACGCGTGTGGAAATTACCTGAGGCTCAGGGAGGATCGTGGGACCAGTGTGCGATGCCAGAGGCATGAGTCAACAATGCTACATAAACAAGGAAGGGCAGAGTTGTCTCTCTTTGGCTTCCTCACTCCATTTTACAGTGTGCCTATTGTGCGCCCTGGGATGCTTGGCACAGAGGAGGCAGCCATAAGCAGAGAGAGGCGGGTCCAGACTTCTGAGGGTTCATGGACAAGAAAACCTTTATATCAGGTCTTTCAGAATGAGGGGTTTCAGGGCCGGGAGTGTGGCTCGGTGGTAGGACACAGGCCTAGTGTGCACAAGGTCCTGGAACTGACACTCAGCACAACAAAACCAAACAACAAACAACACACACTTCAACACAAAGAACAAAACCAAAACCAGTCATCTCAAACATCAAGAGCTATATCCTTAGAGCAATGTGGGATCGGAGGATGGCCACTGAAGCCCACTATGGTGGACACTACAGAAATACCAGTACTGGGGAGGGCCAGGCCAGCCAGGGCTACCTAGCAAGCCTGTCTCAAAAACAATAACAAACAAATAAATAAATAGAAAGTGAATATCACAATTTAAATAAAATGATAGTCCCTGGGAAACAAGGCCTGGAACACAGGCTTTAAAAAAAATGTCTGAAGTGTTCTAATGGACAGTCTCCCCAGATGCCAGCTGTTTCCTTGGTGTGATTAGTGAAATTGTGGCCTGAGATAATAAACCAGGACTTCTGATTGAAACAGTATTGAGTTACCTCATGAGCTGAAGAGACTATGGAACCCCTAAGCCTATCCCATAGGAGAAGAAGCACTCAATCCTACTGCAGGTGCATCTAGGCTTCTAATCACAGCCAAGGACCTATTGACCAAAGGACTGCTCAGCCTCCATCATTGCTAAATAGCTCTACAGTCCTCAAACAAACGCTTACCGTTCCTCGGGAAAGGATGTGAAGAATAACCCAGTACTTGGAAACACGAATATCACTAAATCTAAATCTTAAATATTTACAGGGTACTTTTGCTGAGAGGGACCCCATACGGGTCCCTACAGGAAGTAAACAGAAACCATGGTCTTGTCTCATTTAAAATATGATGACTACCTCTCCAAATAGTGTTGCTTCTTGTCACTGGAGACCTTACTTTGCAGGATGCTGAGGATATTGTGATGGTGGTCTCTTCCATATTTAGACAGAGCCAGGCCCCTGGCAGCACTGGCTTTGGGTCCCCTTCTTGCCATTCACAGAACTCTAGCTAACCATCGCAGGGTTTGACCCATGTTCACCAACTAAGTGTGCTATGACCCAGCTCCACCCCCTTATTCTATGCAAGGGGACAGAGGGAAGGGACAGCTGCCACACACAACTAATTAGGGACCAGGTGTGGTGCTGCTGTTTTGCATTCTCTCATTAAAGTCCGCAGCCATCCTGAGCTAGGTTCTATTTTTATCCCATGTCACAGCTGAGGCTGGCTTCCAGGGGTGAAGCAACTCCAATCAGTGCCAGAATTAGGATTTGCACTCAGGTCCGCACGACTCCAAAGCCAGAGCTTTGTGTAAGAGCCCCCGGGGTTCCAGAAGGCTATAATTATAGCCATGCTGGGTGCAGACTCAGTTCTTCAAAGCCTCCTGAACTCGCCGGATGAGACCCAAGTCACAGGCAGTGTGCAGTTTAGAGTCCTGGCTCTCCCCCTAACACCAGGTCTTCCCTGTTTGAGTTTGACATGCATTTTTATCTTTAATTTTCTCCTTTCTGGGGTCCCCTCTAAACAATCTTGTAGAACCTTGCTGTTTATTTCTGCCAATCCTCCAACTTACCAAAGTCGTTTTCAAGGGCACACACTAGACATAAGCTTTCTAGTCCCTCATCCAAATTGCTGTTATCTGTACTAAATGATAAGGGCCAGTACTTAGGTATTTATTGAGTGAGCTGTGTGACTTGGTTCCTATGAAGTACAAGTGGTCTTCAGCTGCATGCATGGAAGCAGACGATCTAAAAACAAAGACAAAGCTATGTCTCTCCTACCTTCCTGGTGACAAGGTAGTAGTAAGAATTTCCTTTTCAAAGGCAAACAACATACCAAGTTCTTAATTCAGAACTCCAGCTATCACCGCTACTCATCATATAGACTTGCTGGGTGGGAGTGGGACAAAGAGGAGACTCTAAGGTGAGAGGCAGTTAGAGATGGATTTGGTTGTATATAAGAAGAAACTTTCTTATGATCAGACCTTGACAAATGAGGCACTGGACGCAGTAAGTGATGGCTCTTTCTAATAGGTCTGGAGGAAGAAACCAGACTATTCTACCCAGTATTATAAACTGCCTGCTTCAAACATCAGGTAGAAGGCTGGACTCTTCACTCTGAGAGCTCTGACTCCATGATTAAGCCCTGAGGATTATTACTCCAAATGTCCCAGCAGGATGTGTGGTGAATGAATCCAGGCTGGGAGTGGGGGGGTTCAGATCCACATACAACCCCCAGAGTAGACTGCTTGGGGACTCTACCCAATATCAGTAATTCTACCCAGATCAATATGGACTGGTTATAAATAACTGCACTGACATAAAGCAGTTCCTAGGTTGGTCTCCTGGTGCTGTTTCCTTGGATTTTGTTGGACACTAGTGCAATCTTTAACATATATTATTTTAAGGGAAAGAGCACACATATAAATATACACCCAGGGAGAACCCATCCAACATACCCACGCTTTGTGATATTGTTTTGATCTGTAGTTCTCCACCCTTCCTAATTAACTTTGCAGCACCGTGGGTGTTGGCTGCTTGAACACACAGGTCTCTATGCTTCTGACCCTTCATACATGCGGTCTCCACCTGAAACAACCTTCAGTTCATTGAGCTGACTACAACTTGATGTTTACAGCCTGGCAAAGGCACCAAGTCTTCTTGGAAGTCTGTGCCGACATCCTCCTCTTCCCCTCCCTTCTTCACACTCATGGATGTGAAAGATCTTGTCTAAGCATCCCCAAGGCTGTCAGAGTGTAGACACATTGTGGCTGAGCACACAGTGCTATCTGTGTTACCTGTTCACACACCAGGCATTGCGTTCCCCGGGACATAAACTAGCACCTGGAAAAGCCTGATACACTGTGGCTGTCCCAGCTATGTCTAGCAATGAACAAATGAATATTTGCATAAAGGATTCTACCCTATGTAGGAAGCTTTATCGGATACATTTTACCAAGGACCTAATCTAGGCGGCAGCTAATTCTCTAATGCAGAGAGAGAGAATAACAAAGCTAGCCCAAAGTATGCAACTGTGCCAAGCCTGTAGTTGGAGGATGAGTAGGGAAAGGTCTTGACTATGGGATGGATGGGTCCACAGAAAGCACCATGCCAGAATCAATGATATTAAAAGCAAGACTGGCTCTGACTGAAGACCAACAAATAGGCAATCACTTCTTAGAGCTGTAACAGACTACCACCAGCCCTGGGAAGAGTTCCATTCTTCATGCCAGTGACAGGAATGTCAAACACGGTCCCCAGAAGCACAGTCCCCAGGCCTAATGGGGCCAGATCCACATGCCTGTGAGTATATTCCATTCCCTCCCTACCACTCCACTTTTTATATCTTCTTGCTTTACATTTTATATTCTTCACCATTGAAAAAAAATACGAGTGCTTTTAAAGACTCTTAAGACCCCTGCCTTTATGGTATCTTTGATTCTTAAATTTTCTTTTTAGTTTGGATTTGCCCATTTATTAAGCACAGGTTCCTTGGCAAGGAATGACAAACAGTACTTAACTTGTGCCTCTGCTGACCAAGTTTTTACTTCCTACTAATGACTGTGGTTTCCGGCCCTCTCTGCGTTTGCTCTCTGGTTCTGCTCCTACACAGAAGCTAGAAGCTACTTTTCCTAGTGTTCCCTTATGTACACAGACCATGGTCCATCTCTCTTCAGTGAGGACAAGTACGCCTAAATTTCCCTACATCTGCAAGCAAGAATGATTAGTTGACTCTGCGTGTCTCTACCAAATAGTTGGGAAATGAGAGAGAACATGAGCACTGTGCTCACCGCTCTCCACATGGGCATTATTCTGAAGCATACTCCTCTGGTTTCACTCTGGCTGTGTAAGTCAGGTATGCGTTCTGCTCCAAATGAGGACTTCCCATTTATAAAGACAGCGCTTTCAGTTCACTGTGAAGTGCAGCGTGGCAGATCCACACCAAAGGAAGTCACACCCCACGCCACACGTGAGCTTGCTTTGTGCTGCGCCAGACACAACTAACTAGTGACAAAACAACTCACTACATAGCTGGCCTAAATTACTGTGCTGTTTTTCATTAAATGGATGTAGGGCAATTAAAATTATTATTTGTTGTTATTATCATTATTTCCTTTGTGCCAACTCGGGCTCTTCAGTAACAGCTCCCCAGCACGGGCCATGCTGCCATTGGTACACACCAAGGGAAAGAGAGCCGCCTCTATCAACACCACGCTTACACCTCACCACCTACTCCTTTGCAAGCTGCCCTTTTTACAAAATTAAGTCACCTTTTAGCCATCACCCACGCGTTCACCTCTAACCCACTAAGGACCTGCCAGAATGCCGGGCGCACCTAAGCTCCACCTGACAACAAAGAGCTGTCACAATATTCTGGACTACTTGCATACCTGAGATAGCTAAGTAACTCCATCACTCGTGAATCTGTAAACAGATATTTGCTACCTATAAGTTGCACTTCTGCAGGAACTGAATTCGGCTAAATGTGGTAAGAGGAGAAAATAATTCGGTTTTCAACGTTATTAAGACAGCATTTATTTGTCTCTTGGCTGGTGGACTCCCATTAAGACCCTGTCTTTGGTGGATATGAGTGAGTCAAATACATCTGTGAGGGCTGGGGGTGTAGTTCAGGGGTGCAGTACTGACCTAGCATGCCCTACCCCTGAAAAAACAAAGTATATTCATAATCGCTTCATCACAGAATTACTATTAAATTATAGATTTCTGAAGTGCAGCTTGTGTGAAGATTCCCTTCTCGTTTTTAACACAGAGGTGATTCTCACCAATAATTACATTCTGGCAGCCAATCTAAGCCCCTCCAATGGCACTCTGCGTTCCATGAAGCCATACCAATAAAGCTGAACACACAGCACTTGACGGGTCAGAAGAAACATACCATATTTAATAAAATTCCAGATTCTTGCGGTCGGTGTCCATAAAAATGCTTTGCGGTGTTAGATATATGGTTTGCAAATGCAAGGAGATCCTCCACCGTCCCGTATCTGACAGATGACAGCCAGGGCACCTCGGGGCCACTCCGAAGCAGCGACTCTGAGCACTCTTTGTTTTGATTACTGTCGGGACACATGGTCATCAGACTGGGCTCGTACACTGCAGGATCTTCACTCGTGTAAAGGTTTTCCATTATGTCTATGACTTCCGACACATTTAAATGCTTAATTAATAAATCGATTTCTTCTTTCTCGTCACTTCCAGTGCTCATGTACTCCATCACTGTGGTGCCTGCTGGGGCGTCTAAAAAACAAAACAAAAAGCGCAAATACTTCTTTCACTATAATGTGCTTGAACTAGAGATCACAGGGCCTGGGGATCTGCTGCTCTGTGCCCCTGTCCATAATGAGGACTCTTCTTTACTAGCATGTGCGAATTCAAATGGGCAGTGCCAAGTTCAATGGGACCTTAGATAATCTTTAGCCCAGCTCACTTTGCAGGGGGAAACCTGAGATGCAGAGTGCTCGGGAGTTACTCACTGTGGCATCAGCTCCAGCTACTGCAAACAAACTTTCGCTAAACACAAACACAATAAAGAGCAGTCCAGGGGTCTCCCCAGTTTACAAGGCACCTGCTTTTTATAACTACCGACCTTGAGCACCGTTGTTGTTCCCCAGAAAGATCACGGTGGCTTTAAAGAAAAAACTACTTGACTAAAATCCAGGAACTAACTTGGCAAAGAAGCTAAGTCTCAAGAGAGAAGAGGGCATGTAAAACGGAGTTTGGTTGGAGCAAATGGGATAGGGAGAAATTCAATTTGTGGGGGACTCTGGTGTAAAGAAATGAAAGAGCTCCGGGGCCGTAGCTGTGCCAAAGATGAACAGGGATGGGAAAGGCGACTCTCGACCTGTGAGTCACAGTTCTCTCGTGACACCTGAAATTTTTAATAGCACAAAGCATGCATCCTGAAGGTCCCAGAAAGCTAAGTTCATCCCTAGATCAACTGGCCTGGAGAAACTTTAGTGGTAGAAAGAAGTTAGGAAAGCTAAATGTGCTAGAAGCAGGCCACCATTGACGATCAACTGACTTCACTAGCAAGGGTGGCATCTCAGTCCTACAAGATCAGGTCCCACACTTAGGAAATGCAGGTGACAAAAGAAGGCAAACAGTAATAAAAAGTGATGCTGTTCCCCTGGGGTCTTGAGATAACTCAGATCCACTACAAAGAAGAAAAGATAAGAGCAGCTAAGAGATCTAAGAGAATTTCAAAGCCTGACTGACTTAAACCACCTTGCTCTAGAAAGCATAGCCTCTCTGGAAGATACTCCAGGTTCTTAAAGACACAGGTGCTTGGCAAGCATCACAGAGCTGGGGTATGGGGACAGGCGGCTCCCTCGAACTCACTGGCTAGCAACTACAGCTGTACCCTAAGCTCTAGGTTTAGTGAAAGACCTGCTTCAAAGAGTATGGTTCTAGCCTTCACATACACCAGCACATACGAGCACCATGCATGTACACCTGCATGAATTGTATCCACGACCGTGTACAGCTGCAGACATTACACCAATACACACACACAAAGTAACAAAGCTATTCATTCTGCCAAAGCCATGCACCTGTGTCAACTTGGAACTTCAAAGATCCTGGAAACTTCCACCTGGGGCCACCTGCACACATGACCAAGTCATGTGCCTCTGATGTACAAACTGCTTCTGAGAAAGCACCTAGCATCCAGGTCACACCAAATATTCCTCTTTATGGCCAAATTTCACCACCAGCCTCAGTGCCTATGACATGTTGGGCAAGTATCTCAAGCTCTCTGTACCTTGATTTCCCCCAGCTGCAAGGTGGAGCTAATAATAGCATCTACCATCCAGTTAAAGAACCTCCTGTGTACAGGGTGCCCGACTTAGCCTGGTATGTAGTAAGTAAAGCTATGCCAAGTGCGGAGATGCAGACCTAGCTCAGCAGACGCGTGGCCGGCCTCCTTTCTCAGCTGTAAGAGGGGTTTGTCTGCCTGTGCCCCAGACTTCTCCCGGTAAGCCTTTAAAGACTGTTTATGCTGAAACAAAGGTGACAGGGGCCCAAACCCATGAAGTGATGGATGTTTGTTTTCACCACACTTAAATCTAGACAATGGTCCAGACAGTGCCTTCTCAGACAGCTCCCACATCTGAGGAAGATTGGGATTCAAGTCCCCAGCTTTTCAAGTTACACAGTGACTTCTGTAAGCTGATAGGAGAACCTTCTAGCTCAGTTTCACGGTCTATTGGTTGCAGTTTCTATCACTGGAGAACTTACTAGGAAAACAGAAGTTAAAAGTGGCTGACTTTAGGGCCCCCTTGAGTGAAGGGAGGACTCATGGCTCCCAAACTGTATTATCAAATAAATGACCTAACTTAAAGTTTGTGACTCATGAAAGAAGCGGGGGGGGGGGGGGAGGGGGCGGGGAGGTGGAATACTAATAGTTCCAAGTCACCGCACAGTTTTAGAAAGGAAGACTAGTTTGGGGTTTTAATCCTGCAGAAAATCTTGAGCAAAATGTGTGTCTTCTCATAGGCTTTGCTCAAAGCCTAAGAAATCAGACACACACACACACACACACACACACACACACCATAACACACCATATATATATTGGGCAGGGACATGAACATGAACACACATACACACATGGACAGAAGGGAGAGGAGAGAGGACAGGAGTTGGAGGAGTGTTTAACTCTGAGACCTTCTGTAGTGCTTGCTCAATTCCTGAGAGGCTCTTGTCCCATAGATCTGCTGCCCAGCAACCCAGATGCCCCAACAGCCTCTAGAACATGAAAAGACCCTGCACCCTCCTGCCTCAACTAAGTAGACCACAGTGCTAAGGATCTCTGAGCCAGAGCCCCTTTTCTATGCATGGTGAAGGCATTTCAGTTTAGTGACAAACATGCTCTGCCTCAAGCAACTGCTCCTAGAGTCAGGATAAGAAGCCTCGTATAAAATCCCTACCTCCTAGCAGAACGGAGAGTTAGGACAACACGTTAGAGACAGCTGTGGCAAATGCAGTCAAGGGCTAGGTTATGAAACTTCAAAACATTAAATAGAAATCAACTTAGAATTATTTCAGAAAGCAGCTGTAAAAATCAAAAAACTGGAATGTAAGGCTCTCAGCTCTTCCATCCACAAAATCAAACCTTCCCGGCAAGTCACTGCAGACTATACAGTCTTGGTATTTTGCTTGGCAATGCCGAGTGATACCTTGTGCTACTTCCCATTTTTAAAAAGGATTTTCCCCCACTGAAACAACCCATTACTCCTCGGGACACACTTCTTAATATATATTTCTTCTGAAAAAGTCCCAGAAAGATGTTTTCCAGTTCTGCAGAATCAAATCCAGTTCCAAACTTCCAGCCACCTCAACTATCCTTCTTATTCACTTATGGGATAACTCTTTAAGAACTAGAACACACTAATCTCAATTCATCAGAGTTTGGCGCCTCAGCAGGAAACCTTACAATGCTAAGCAAGTATTGGCTTTTTTTTCCTCTCAGTTTTTTTTTTTCTAAATCAAAAACCGATACCACCACCCCCATTCTAGACACAAATATGTTTTCCCACACTCCCTCCCGGTCCACCTGGCTCCTTAAAATAACCGAGCCTTTAGGAGCTTGCATATTGTAAAAGTGCCCCTCGACAGAGAGATGGTAGCGAGGTTCTTCAGCCTCCAAGTTGCACTCACCCAGGCTCAGCAACCAGAGTGCAGCTGTCCAGGCAGCGTCCCCCGCAGGAGACGCGGTGAGCGCGGGTCCTCACTACCCCCGACACAGCCCAGGACGGCACTGACTGGTCACCCGGGATCCGGGAAGAAGGAGGAAGGGGGAGGAGCCGTGAGTCTGTCCACACCTCCCGCGGCCTTGCGCAAGGTGCTTTCCAGCTCTACCTGCGTGCAACAGGCCACCAGAGGCTCCCCTGGTGGCAGGCACGCTCCGTTTCAGAGTGGGCGCCCCCGAAACACACCCAAAGCACCCAAATCCCTGTTACCTAGTGTCCCGCGTGCCCGTCCGGAAACCGGGCTCAGTAGGCAGTGGGTGGCTTGCCTGCGGGAACCAGGCGTGCTGGCGTCCCAGAGGGCGGGCGGCGGTCGCCTGAAAGCGGGCGATCGGCCGCTGGGGCACCCGTGCGCTGCGGGCCCCTGACTCCCGGCGTCTGAACTGGCCTCGGGGCGGCGCAGCAGACGCCAGCCTCCTCCCCGCCTTTTCCATTTCCCCTTTCTCTCCGTAAACAGAAAGGGCCTGCCGGCTAGCCGGGTACGCGAAAGCCCCCGCGCTGGGAAATTCCGTCCTCCCACCCTCTGGCCCGGGGGAGTGGGGTGGAGATGGGGGCGGGACCGGGCGGAGCGACCGTGCGGACCCACCCTGCCCGGGACTTCGGCCCCAAATCTGCGGACAGAGCGCGTCCTTCCCCCTACCCCCAACCCCCAGGACCCGCCCGGAGTCGCTCTCACAGTCGCTGCAGGAGGCTTGTGAGGTAGCGAACTGATTGCCAGTAGCCAGGACCGGACTACCCCGATTCAGTTAAATTACAGCGGACCAGTGGAGAGTCTAGTGGCAGTTTACTACGACTCCCAGCTGGGTTTTAATGTTTCGGTGAAAGTCGTCTGAGCTGTTATTTGCCAGCACAACTAGTTTTGATCTTTGTCGTGACATCGCTCCACTGTAAGACTTGCCTGCTAGGATCCCTCTGGCCCCTAGGGGTTTGCTCCTTTGTTCGAAAGTTTACTAAAGGTGAGGTCCAAAGACAGTTCTAGAAGAAAAGCACCACCAGGAACTCCAGTGGTCCACCCCTGCTTATCCTGCTCCTCCCTCCAAAGGCCCAAGCATCAACAACCTACTAGAAGCTGAGTACTTTGCAAGATCCCAGAGAACAAAAGGAAAGGTCACATTGGCATAATCTCCATCCCACCATAAGGGACTTGGTGAACCCAGGCTGAGCTATGAAGCCAGCGCCCCTATGACTGAGTTGCACGTTCTGTTCTTTGCAGTCCCCAGGCTCATCCGCCCTCATCAAGTTCAAAACGCCCCTTAAGTCCATCTCTCCACAACTCTTCTGAGGACAGTGAATTGCCCTTTCAAGAACATCCTAAGAAACTGTTGGTAGAGGTAGGACAGAAAGTTTGGATGAGGAATAGTGCCCGCGTTATGGAGCCTTAAGGGTCATACAAACAAGACTAAATTTCCCTGGAGAAGAAAGCCACCTGCAATTTCTGTAAACGCGAGAGCTCTACGTGAGTGCTGTGACTTGAGAGAGGCTGGGCATCACTTTGGTGGTTACAGGAATCCCTCTTAGTCCCCCTTTTGGATGACTTGACCTTTCGGTTCTCACAGAGAGCGAGCAAGCATAGTCCGCACCAACCAAACCGCCTGCACCCGGCTGTTCTGCGGCTTAACTCCGTGGATTTTAGCACTGGTGAGAGAGACTAGCATGCGGGTCTGGGTTGAAACTAAAGTACTGCTACTCTTTAGTTTCTTTGTGGCAACCCAGTTTAGCACAGAGGTTGCCTCGACCTGCTGCGTGAGTTTTGTCTCTCCCTTTCCTGATGTCTTTGGCAATAAAGGATGGGCTTATAAACACTTTAAAAATAGAACCGTGGAACCACGCCCCGCCCCGCCCCCTTTAGTGAGTTCATTACACCACGTGTAGTCTGGGAAGTAAGCCCCGGTTTCTCTACAGAAGCCTCCCCAATACAGCTTTGCCTTAAGCAGTAGCTGTGCTATGATATGTTGTGGAGTGAATTAGAATACTTTCAAACATTTTAATTTTTGTTTTTCTAGAAGTAGGATTTCTCTGTGTAGCCCTTCCTTTCCTGGAACACACTCGAACTCAGAGACTCGCCTGTCTGTCTCTGCCTCCTGAGTGGTAAGGGCTAAAGGCATGCATCTCTATGGCCGGCTACTTTCAGACATTTTTTGAAGTCTAACGCAGCCCTGAACTTAGCAACCCTGACCAGACTGGAAAGAGAATGCCGCTGCAAAGAAAGCCCTGTGCTCACTCTTTCATTACATTTCTTTTCAGATGCGTGCTAGCAAAACCCGTGCGGGCTTGTGTGTGTGTGTGTGTGTGTGTGTGTGTGTGTGTACATGTGGTAGTTGTGTAGTTGGGTCTACAAGTATCTGGTACTGTAGTTGTGCACCACCAACCAGGGCTAAACGACTTTTAAACTTTCGAGATGAGAAGCCAGAACCTAGAGAGCCACTGACTGGGGCTTGGAGGCATTTGTATTATTTTATCCATGATTGTGCATATGCATGTTTAGCCTATGGCAGTCCCGGCTGGTGTCGGATTCCTCCCGAAGACTGGGAGTCCAGCTCTTGCGAAGGCCTCTTCAGTGACCAAGTGCACTTACAAGTTGCCTTGTAACCAGTTGCAGTTTATCCAGAGCTTTCCCCTTAGGTTGGGACAGCAATGCGTTTAGAATCTGCAGTTAGAAAATCTGAGTTCATTTCTGCTTACTTTCTCATTCAGGAAAGAAAATTATTAACAAACAACTTGATTGTCCACTAACCCACGTAATTGGAAGTATGTCTATGTTTTGGTATATTCACTGCAAGGCACTGCTTTCCAGTCTTTACCATCTATATAAAATATAGCCAGGCACGGTGTGATGGCATACATCTGTAATACCAGTCCTGGGGAGGCTGAGACAGAAAGACCAAAAGTTCAATGCCAAGGGCTGAAGACATGGCTTAGCACTTAAGAATGTTTACTGCTCTTGCAGAGGACTCAAATTTGATTCACACACAAGTAACTCACAACCATTTACAGGATATCCAATGCTCTTAGGCATTGCAGTTGTACACACACACACACACACACAGAGAGAGAGAGAGAGAGAGAGAGAGAGAGCAACACACATACATATAATTACAATTTTAAAATAATGTTTCTAAGCTCAATACCATCCTGGATTATATAGCAAGATCTCATCTCAAAAAGGCGAAAATGAAATAAAATACAGACTTTTGCGAACAAAATAAACTAGAATAAATTGGAAGATGATTCTTTCCATTCTAGTAAAAGCAACAGTTCAGTACTCTGTATTCAGTATTTAAAACACAAGATACTGAGGAAAGAAAACTAATTGCTCCATTTTAAGAAAGCTTTATAAGATATGATTTAGATTAAGAGGAAGTTGAGCTCAATTTGTGAGTACAGGTTTTTTTCTATGTTGTTTTATGTTGAAGTGGTTGCATTTGTTACCAGGATGTTCCAGTAATGATCTCTTCACTGGTTCTGACAGGAGCCACCAGTAAGAAACTATGCACACATGCAAGTAGTAAATATAAATCGTTATCTTGGTAAAATGGTTTAAACAGTTGTACTTGGATTTTTAAAAAGAGCCTTTCTTTCTTTTTCTTTCATTAACATTAAATTTCTTTTCTTTCTTTTCTTTTTTAAGTTTTTCGAGACAGGGTTTCTATGTAGCTTTGGAGCCTGTCCTGGCACTAGTTCTTGTAGACCAGGCTGGCCTAGTACTCACAGAGATCCGCCTGCCTCTGCCTCCTGAGTGCTGGGATTAAAGGCATGCGCCACCACCGCCCGGCTAACATTAAATTTCTTGTAACCATGTGTGGATTCAGCTATGACTGAACATTTTCTCCTTTAGTGTTTCAGTATAACAAAGCTCTTTCCATGTGGAACACATAGGTTTTGTCAGAGCAATTACCTAGGACACCCCTAAAAGGCACAGCAGCCCCTAGGATGGAATGTCCTCGAGTTAACAGACAAGGCTTTCCACTAGGTACTCCACCCCTCACTTTTAGTCATATTCCTCTGGGACCCAAGATACCAAATTCCTTCTCTAGGGAGATGGACTGTCCCCCTGTCCATCACTACAAGAAGTGTGTTCTGCAGCTGCTGGTTAGTGAAGTATCACACCCTGCACCTTAGGGTAAGTCATCAGACTTAGGGTGCTCATCAGACTCGTGGGGGACCACAGAGGGCATCATTAGATTCTGCACTGCCCCTGAAGTTAGCTGAGACTTTTCCGATGCTACTGGAAAGGGGAAAGACCCTGGAGCTTCATCCCTCACCTGCCTACCTTTGGGGTTGGAAGAGCCAGTCTGTATGGAAACAGTCAGCTCTTAAGCCTGCGAGGCTTTGTCCTCATCCCTTCAGATCTTCACTGGGACTGATTGTGGCAGAGGAGAGCAGATGAGGATGGAAAGGACCATCCCCTCTGCCCTCCTCCATAAACTCATTATCTTTTGACATCTGTGTGCAGAGCTGGAAGAGCCATTAAAAGGGGGATTTGTGGCCTTAGCAGAGACGGATTCTTGAGGTTGGGGGGAGTCCTGAGGGGTAGCGATGGGAAGGGAAGGTGTTGGAGGAGGGGCCCGCTTATTGGTTCCCGCTGCCCAGTACCAAAATAATCACACAGAAACTGTATTAATTAAATCACCGCTTGGCCCATTAGTTCTAGCTTCTTATTGGCTAACTCTTGCATATTAATTTACTCCATTTCTATCAATCTGTGTATCACCATGTGGCTGTGGCTTACCTGCTAAAGTTCCATTTGGCTCCAGCGGGGCTACATGGTTTCTCTCCAACTCTTCCTCTTTTCTCCCAGCATTCACTTTAGTTTTTCCCACCTAGCTCTTTCTGCCCTGCTCTGCTGTAGACTCAAAGCAGTCCTTTATCAACTAGTGGTATTCACAGCATACAGAGGGGAATCCCACATTAGGAAGGGGGTTCCCTGGATGAGCTCAGTAGCTAGTTGTCTGGCCATGAAGGCTATGTGTGACTGGGCCTGTGTGTGAGCAGAGACCACCAGTTAGCTGCAGAAAGCTAACCCTTAGGCTTTGATTTTAATTTTATATGTTGATTGTTGTGATTTCCCCAAATCTGATCTCCTCGAGCTACACTTGGAAATCAGAAACCATTGCTTTGGGCTTCTTCACTCAACCCTCAAATGTAAACCTCTGTGTTTTAGGCATGGCCTTCTAAAATGACCACGGAGGACAGGGTGCTCCCCAGGACTGTGGGAGGCTTTGTCCTCAGACTCTGCATCTGCTCTCAGTGACACATTTTGAGACTGAGAAAGTAGGATCCTCCTGCCATCTGTCTCTCCACATTGCCTGGGGCCAGGTTGTACAGTAGCCCCCCTTCTGGACTTGAGGAGACTCTGTACTGACCATCACTCCTGCCTCCTACCTCTCCTTTTCCTACTGACCACACAGCCTTCTCTGTTCCAAGTGTACACAGCACCTGCAAGAGTATGCACACATAGCGTGGTGTCCACCATGCAAGGGACCGGTTCCCATGCACTGTTTAGGTATGTGAAGGAACTGGTT